TGAATTGAGATTAACTAGCACTTGCTTGAGTATGTAACTGAGATTGCAGAGCACTTGTAGCACTGTTGCACAAAAGCTGATAGACTTCTACTAATTTGCATTAGGTTCAAAGAAGACTTCTTCCAGAAGGGAGAAATTGGAGGTCATTGCACCCTCAACGTTCAAGCATTTTTGGCTGAAGGTCAACGCAAGAGCCCTCTGCAGTCTTGGTAAGAATCACTTGTCAAGGCTGCTTCCAAGTTCGTTTACTAATTCTTTTTTATTTTTTTCACTGGCACTAGCAGCTGTGTGTAGGGGATTTCGTACTGAGGAAATAGTTGCTTCTTTCTAAAGTCAGTTTGAGAGTTCATATAAGATAGCTCAGGTAATTACATCTGTGCAGAATGTTCTGAACTATGCTATGTGTAATTGTGTCCTGCCTAATTTACAGCAGCAAAAGATCTGAAAACGTCTTGTAATTTGAAGTTCTAACCTTCAGGTGTTTTCTGGACAAGATGCTGGTTGTATGCCTGATCTGCCTATAGAAGGAGACAGTTGTTTTGTTGTGAAATGCCTTGAAGTTTGCACTTGTGTCTTAGTTCACACAGTCCTTGGTGATGTTGGGGCTAATGCAGTGACTGAGCTGGGTATATATTCATATCGTGTTCCCAGGGAGCCTGTGTTTGGAATGTGAAATGGGCAACAGTCCACAGGCCGAGTAGGAAGAGCAGAGGGTGCTTTGTGGTAGCTGGTTAAGTATTACGGGTTGCATGTTAGCACTTCAAAGCTGCATTGCCAGTTAATTGATGAAACGTGAAGGAATTGGAGCCATTAAGGTCCATATAAGAATTCATTTTTATGCTTTTCTCGTGTTTTCATTTTTTTTTCTCATTTTCCATTGATGGTCAATTTCAGTTAAGAACAGCTGCAGGGAGGAAAAGACTTTTCTTCTCTACCTGCTATTGTCATCTCAACTGCTCATCCTTGTTTAGACCCAGGAATAATAAATATTGCATCTACATTCATTATTCTGACCAAAGCATGAAGATCTTGCTGAAGTGTCTTTGGCAATGCAGATCAAGTCAGATAGACCTGCAGATCTAGGCTCTGAGGCTCTTTGTTAGATCTCTACTGCCTTGATTTGTAGATCAAAGATGCTGTTCACTCCTGAGATCAAAGGCAGTGTTTAACCTCTTGAAGCTCATAACCTGAAGAACCTTCCATTACAATTTCAAATCATTTTAATTGTCAGACTCTCTCAGTTTTCAGCAGTCCTGTTAAATCGAATGGACTGGATGAACAGTTACTAAATCTTAGATGTATGAAGTACATTTGTTTAAGTGTGTTAATGACAAAGCATGTTCTGTGTGATTGACTCTTTGTAGGTTTGCAGAACTCCAGACATTTACTGCATTAAACTTCAGGCCCCTAGAAGATGAGAAGTGTGATGTTGTTATTGAAAAGCCAACATACTTCATGAAATTAGATGCAGGTAATTGGTATCTTTAGTTTAGTTTGTTTGGGTTTTTTTTTTTTATCCTACAGTACTGCAGTAAAAAGACCCCATATCCAACTTGCCCATCTACATTATGCCTTTGTGGTTCACTTGTAATAGATTTTTATTTTTGAAAAATGATATGACTTTTAAATTCCTTTTTTTCCTGTAGTTCCATTGATGAGCTTGGAAACTTAGATGTAAATCCTTACATTTTGCCACAGATAATAAATAAACAAATACATAAATCAGAAAAAAATTCCTGCCACTTGTTTTGCACAGTCATTGACTCTTGACTGTGTTTTGACAGAGTCTTTGACTTTGTGCCAAAGACTCTTCTGTACAGCGTCTTTGATTTTGACTGTGTTCCTGGATGACAGTTTTCATTCCACGAAACACGAGATATGGGTATATATGTCTTGTAGTATATGTTCAGTAATTGAGGATTCTGTGTGTATTGGATGATATGGCAGAGGAAGCAGTATTCAAAGACAAACTTCAAGGGAATAAGTTTAGTTGATTCAAATACTTCCCCTCAACCACCCCAGAAAAGCCAAAACACACAAAACTAAACACAACCCTGTTTTAATCTTAAAGTTTCAAATTTAGGCGAAAAGCCACTACAGGAAGAAATTAGCTGTCTCATTACAGAGAGCTGTGGTGAATGCTGTGCAACACTGTACCAAAATTCACGAGAGGGGCAGCACCCAAGCATCTTTAGGAATCCGCCAGTGGTATCTGACATTTTTTGAAGTTCACCAATGTTTTTGTTCATGCAGCATTTTGCAGACACAAACGTTCATGAAAGGGGGTGGTCAGGTTATAGACATACAAACAAGCTGCTGTGGGGTAAGCTGTGGTTTAAACTGGATAGTTGTCTGCTGTGTTCTGACCCTGTGACATACTGCAACTGTAAACTGGATTGCCCCTCTTCCCCTGCAGGCCAATATCATATATTTTAAGCAAAGTTGTTGCAGGCCCCTGAACAGTTACCATGGAAGAGTTGCTGTGCTGTCAATTTGTACCGTTGAGCAGGGTGGTCTAGCTGTGGCTCAGGAGGTGTTTTTGTCCAGCTCCTTTGTTTTAGGGGAGGCGGGGGGAAACTGCTGTTTGCGCAGTATAGGAATCCTGGCAGCTAGTTCCTACCATGGCAGCTCTTTTTGGTCAGAAGCTTAGAAAGAGGGGCTGTGTGCACATAGTTCCAAAACTGGCATCTGATCTTCACTCGCAAGGAAACTGGACTACGTTACTGCCTTTGTTTCATGGTAGTTTTTTATGCGCCATGGTCGTAAGGTATTAGCTTAAGAAACCAAGAACGAACAGGAATGCTCTGAGAAAAAACCTGAGGAATTACTTGGGCTTTGGCTCATGTGCAAGTACAAGTTCTGTCTTGTAGTCCTGCTGACAGAGCTTCCCTTAACCCCAATAAAGCAGAACTAAGATCAGTGCCGAAGGCCTGTTTTAATGTTCCCTTTATGTCTAACTAGCTATTGTTAAAGCAGTAGTGGCTTTCATTTACTTCAGAAAGCAGCTGCAGACTGTAATGAGAAATAGCTTGTGAAACTTACCCTTTTCTTATGCTGTGTTTTGGCCGCTCTTCTAATTTCCCTGAACTTTTTAAAAACACATTTTACTTCAGATTTCTTACCTTGATTCCTTCCCTTTAAAGGTTTGCTTTTTTAGGGTGTATAAGAAGCATTCAATCAGAAGCAGGGGAAAACTAATATAATATACAGGATACTACTAAGGAAAAAATGCGTGAACTGATAAAAAGTGGAGCGAGTAATGTATTTTGCTAACAGTTCTTTCTTTCGCAGGTGTTAATATGTACCATCACTTCTGTGATTTCGTCAATCTTTATATTACACAGCATATTAATAATTCCTTCAGTACTGATGTCAACATAGTCATGTGGGACACTGTAAGTCTGCTGTGCTTTTAACCTGTTTGTAATGGGTTGTGTTTCTGCTTTATACTCCGAATTTTCAGTAGGCAATCCTTAGCTTTCTTGTGGGCTTAGCCGTGTGGAACTGATAAGTTTTTGGATCTTGTTAATACAGGCACATGAACAATAGTTAGGTAACAGATTGTCTACAATAAACCATGTACTGTTTGAACACTACTCCATAGCTCATCTTTTGCTAGTACATAATTATGGGGTTTTTTGGTGTGACCTCAAAAATAGCATGATCTGTATTTCTAATATGCGACATTTGGACATTTCATGCTGTTTTCTGTAGACTTTTTTCTCTGAGAATATTGAAGTAGATTTACTGAAAACTGTCTTCTATATTTAAAAAGAAATGCAGCCTTGCATCTTTCTAAATCAGTAATGTGCAGCCTGTAATGAAGAAAACAACTAAATGAAATCCTTATATATATCAAAACAGGGTCTAATACTTAATTCCTTTAAATAGCCTTCTTGCAGTTACTTCTCTCAATCACCTCTTAGAATGCCATGATGATATATAAAACAAGTTTTTAAGTGGGGCTATTTCTGCTGTACTGCTGAATTGAAACCATGACTGTGTTCAAGATTAATACTAGTTTTACTGGCTAGTACTTGAGTTGTGTAGGAGAGTGTTAAACTAAACAACGAAAAACTGGGCAACTTGTAACATGCCAGATAACATGTATAATCGGGTCCAGAAATAACCCAGTTCTCGACTATGGTATTGTCCCACACCTGTCTTGTTCTCGTAAAATACTGGGTTTTCTTTCTCAGTATTTACTGCTAGGACAACTAATATTCAATAGAGAAACGCAAATATTCCCTGCGTGCTATTTAATGAGAAACCTCTTTGGCTAGAAGAGACCCTTTTTTCTAGTTCTCTTACATTTTGAAAGCTAAAATAAATGTGTCTGCCACATAAGCAAGCTCTCTAGCTGTTATACAGGGACCTGTTAATCCAGCTCTGACTTTCTGAAAAGATCAGATGTGTCAGATAGCACTGTAAATTACTTTGAAAAGCAACTGTTTTTCTAATATCGCATTGTTGAATCAAATAACTCTTTCAAATGTACCATTCAGAGTAAGTACTGTCACAGTACTATCATTTTAAGAGAGTCTTAACTGCTCAGTCTGCAGTTCGTTACTGTGTACAACCAGATGATGGCACCAGCTAACTGCTGATGAACTGTCTATGCTGATTGAAAGGTGGACTTGAGCTTATTATTCATTCTCTTTTTTTTTTTTTTCCTTTTCTTGATGTAATTAGATTTGGCCATACTTTCTAGCAGCTGTAGAATCAGTGCACTGTTCTTATTAAATAGTAATGCCCTTAGATGTAGGTTAAACAAACCAGAAAATGAGTAGGAAATCCACTGGGTGTCGATTTGCAGACTGTCTCTGCAAATGCAGGAAAGCAACGTTTATAAAGCACTTTTAAGGAGAGCAGATAGGGTTAGAAAGTAGTACTTACAGCTTTCAAGATCAGTTCTCTACTTCTAATCTGGCAGAGCAGCTCTTGTAATACAGATGGCCAGAAAGTAGTATGGAGTGTAAAATTCATTAAAACTTAATGGCAGAAGAAGGGGAAGGACGCACCTCTTCAACTGAAGGAAATCTGGCGCCCTTCAGATTCTCTTACATTTCACTAGATGTCTGCTGTCTTCTGCGGTCATTTGTAGTCTTATTCTCAAATTTCTCATTGAGAATTTTTCCACGTAACTTTCCAAGCAGCCTGAACCAGCTGCAGAGTTGAAAGGAAGCTTTAAGCAAGAATCTGTACCTGGGGGCTACTGAGGTCATATTTAGTTGCATTCAAAGAGCAAGAGATGGTGACTTTTAGCCCTCAGATGTGTAGGAAATGTTACAAATTTGAAGGCGAGAGCCCCTGCTGCTAGGCCAATGTTGTAGAGTGTAGATGGTTCTTAAAAGGTTCAACAGAGCGTTGCTGCAAAGGGGGGAGTTTTATACTGCCTTGTAGAGAAACTTCTTGGTAGCTTGTCAAAGTAATGCAAAACATAGTTTCCTGGCTGTTTCTTCCATCAGATCAGATCATTACCTTCAATTTGCGATAGAAGTGACCATCCCAAAACAGAGGTGAATGTGAAACAGGCGTGTTGTGACTTTTTACTTCAAACATTACTGCAGCGCTTGAATTCCCAGGTGGTTTTTTTAGTCTCAGGAATTGAAGTTTGTGCCTTCTACCATCCCAATGTTTCTGTTATTTCAAATTTAACTTGTGTTCTGTTGTCTCTGGGGGAAGTAGTAGGAACTCCTTGCTCCTAACTCAGAAATTCTAATCTGCTGCTGAAGAACTTACCTAGATTGCTAATTTATAGAACTGTTTTATTAAAAATTAACTACCTGACAGGTAATTTGAGTTAACTGCCATTGTAAGTGCAGGGTTCGGCGTTCTGTCATGTCTGTGTTCTGTGCTAGGCCATCTTGGTCCCATGGTGGTGATGCACATATTAACCATATGTTAAAACTGGTATACAGAACTTGTAAATCAAGAAGAGAGTTTTCGTATGCATTTGTGTAATTGTTATGCCCTTGTGTTTTTCCCTTTCCTCCTAGAGCTCATATGGCTATGGTGACCTGTTCGGTGAGACATGGAAGGCATTTACTGACTATGAAATAATACACTTGAAAACTTTTGATTCTAAAAGGGTATGGAATTTTATATTTTGTTTTAACTCATAGTCCCTAGGTAGCAAATATGACAGCTTCTCAAGTCACTTGTGGATATGGGTATTTCAGAGGAAAGCATTAATACTTTCCATGCATGTTTAATTTGCATAATATGAGTATTCTACCTTTCAAACAAGAGACAGAGCTGTAACCTAATTCTGTGGCATGTCTATGCTTTATATAGATGGACCTAACTTTTGTGTCCTTTGAGAGGTGATATTTATTTGTTGGTTTCACTTCTGCAGGACTCACTACTGAAGTTAAGGGTTTTCAAATGGTACTGTCTCTCTAAGTCTTCTGATTCCTACTGAGGTGTTTATCTTCCCCTGCAACTGTTAATATACCTGCTGCTCATCATTAAAAAAATTTTTACTCCTACCAAAAAATGTACCCGTTCATTCAGAGCTCATTTTAGTCTCTTAAATCCTTTAAAGCCTGTCTTTAAACTCTCTAACTGATTTTCTTCTATTTAGTTCATGTTTGTTCTGTTTTGGGGGTGTTTTTTTTACCTCTTCCCACACTTGCATCTGTAGCATCCTAAGTGAGAGCTCTTTTGGGATCAGGATTGTCTTTGTTCTATTCATTTGCACAGTCAAGGAAGTGTTGATGTTCTTGAGCATGTAATTGCTAGCTCGTTATAAGCAGTGACCCCACTGAATGAGCACGGAATGTGCCAGCGGAAGGTAGCAGTGCAGTGTAACTTCTTGTGATCTTCCTTTGCAGGTGTGCTTTAAAGAAGCAGTCTTCTCATTACTGCCTCGAATGCGATATGGCTTGTTTTATAACACACCATTGGTGAGTTCTTTTTATCCATCCACTGTGTTAACTAGATGTGTGTGTGACAGTATAAAATCTGAGCTAATGAATCTCTCAAATGTCTAGCTGAGCTATCATGAAATGTACTGCATTGAAAGTCTATGCAACTCCAAATGAAATGATCTTCCCTAAAGATTAGGATGTTGAAGTTACTTTAGCTGGTTGATAGTAACTGGTTGTGTGCAATCTCCTGTGTCACAGTTCCTGAGATGCATATTATTCCTCTTTAGTGGGTGGGCACTGTGAACTTAGTGGTATTTTTGCAGAACACGAGACCTCGTACACTGACAGACATTGACAGACTTTCCCGGTGGTATTAGCTCATGCATTCAGGCTGTAACACTGTAGAGAGAGTTATATTTCTTTCTAAATGATAGTGCCACTTGTGTTGCAGTGAATAGTGACATGTTTAGCACAGTGCATGATACTAGGCTTTTGTTCCACAAGAATGGCAAAAGACTGATCACAAAGAGAGGTTTTTCTGAGGAAAATAACTTCTTGTGTTAACAATTGCTTTTTTAATTTCAGATCTCTGGCTGCCACGGTACAGGGCTATTTAGAGCATTCTCTCAGCATGTGTTACACAGATTAAATATCACACAAGAAGGACCCAAGGTATGATAACTGAATAATAAAATTGCAATATGGAGCTGATGGCTCTTACCAGAGAAACAGCATTAGCAAGCTGGACCCAGTGGGGAATAAGGGCATATAGTGCACTTTTCGTCCTTTCCTGTGACGCTCGGGATTTTTTTCCAGTAAGTCAGCCTGTTCTATAAAGGCCTTCAGCAAACATTTGTCTATGTTTGTGAAAGTTGCCCTCGTGTCTTATTTCCATAGGACAGACTTCAGAACATCCTCCTTCCAACCCTAGGATCTTTTCCTTGTCTCCGTTCTCTGTGCTCAAGGCCTTTGTGTCCTTCCTAGTTAAGCAAGATAGATGGTACATGGTCTCTTCTGGAGCACGCTGACAAGGTGCTGTCCTTGGGACCAGCAGAGGGGATCCCACAGAGCAATGCAGTGAGCTTGCTCTTTATCGATCCTCATAGTTACTGCTGAGCTCAGATCAGAGGAGGAAATGATTGAATCTGGTCCTTCCGATCCCTGGCCGGTACCATCTGCCTGGCCCTGGGCTTCTCTGTTGTACACGCTGTTAGGATTTGCAAATTGTTGCAATGGCTGCATTGATGGATACGGCAGTTCTGGACTTCTTGGAATTATTTTCTAAAGAGTAGCCTACACATTATCGCTGAGGGGCACGCATTCAAAGCACTGCACAGGCATTTAGTTATGCTTCTCCTGCTGACACTAATGGGAGTCATGCAGTTAAATCTCTTTATTCCACTTGGAACACTTACCCCTGTGAGCCCAATTAATTTAAAGAGGTAAAAGGAGGAACTGTTATAGAAGTAAAATATTTTTTTCCAAGGATCTTGTGCACAAGTCATCCTGAAAGCTGCTTTCCTGCTTTCAAAAACTGCTGTATAATGTATTATACAAAGGCTCTTTTGTACTGAATAAAATAAATCTTTCAAAAAATGTTTTATTCTTTGTTTCACTTTCGCAAAGTTTTTGACACTTCTAATCTGTTGGAAAATACGATGTGAATTTTAAGGTGGTTACATCATCTATTACATGGGGAGGGAACATATTTAGTTGCTCAAATAATTGCCAAAAGTAAATATGGAAGTGTTTGGGATTTTTTTGTAAGGTCTGCCTCATAGCTAATAAACTGCTGCTTCTTTCTTTTTAGGATGGGAAAATTCGAGTCACAATACTTGCACGCAGTACAGATTACCGGAAAGTATTAAACCAGAATGAGGTGTGGTCCTTTTTATTTTTAAAACAAATTTATCAGAAGTTAAATTTTGCTCATTGAATTGATTTTTTTTTTTTTTTTTTTAGGTACAGCCAAGACATCTATCTGCTGACAAATCTTGGACAAATATGTTCAGTGCTGATATTAATTTCTTCTAATAAGTCTTCTAATCAGTCTCTACTTCTGTACACCAGACACTGAACCTTGCTGCCCTTTTTAAATATCCAATGGAAGACTACAGATGTAATACTAAAAGCATTTCCTCTTAACAGACACTGCAGAGCTTCTGATAACATTAAATTATTTTGCTTTCAGATTATCTCTTTTATTTCTAGCATCCCCAGCGTTGAAGGCTCTAACAAAAACCTTGTTATGCTTGCAGATTAAAATGCATAAGCTATTTTATCTGAGTATGTGCATTCAAAACTTAATGAATTTTCATACTGATTTATGTTTTCAAATCATGCAACTTCGTGGACTTATGGTGTAGCTTCTCTTGTGGTAAAATGATAATATCTAATGTTTTCATACCTGTCTTCATTCTTAGCTGTTAGTGCCTGACAGAAATGGATTGGCATTGTCATCCCCACCTTCCGTAGGGAGAAACTGAGGCTTGTTTGATGCAATAGCTCAGTGGCAGAATAGACAGAGTGCAGATGGCTAGATTTGTGCCTTACCTGCTAGGCTGTCCACAGTGCATGCCTGCACTGCTACGTGTAGTACGTTTTCGGGTAATGAGCACATGACAGAAAGGGAGAAGTTAATATTATCTTTACTACACTTTTGTAAAAGAAAATTCTTGGCTCTTTCTCCCTCTTCTGCTGGCTATGGATTGGACACTTGGAAAAAGCCCTTTTAGGTTAGAAACCCAGGCTCTAACCTGGTTTCACTTCTCATGTGAGTAGGAGTCTGACCTAGTAAGGTATCTTCCAAAATCCTTCTAGCTACCGGTTTGCTTCTTCAGGTACTGGAGTATCTTTTGGAAATCCAACCACTTCTTCCCCCTATTCCTGGCAAAACTCCTACTAGTTTGAGTGGTTTAGGATTGGGTCCTGGAGCATGTAAAAATCAACAGTAGCCTCTGTGAGAGTGCAGGAGATCCGAGTCTCGTCTCCAGGGGTTGCTTTGCCAGGAATGACGTATGTATCTTAGGTGGGAAGGCAGGAAAGGAGGGGAACTGCTCCTTTATATGGCAGTGACAGTATGTTCTGTCTCACTCATTGTAATTCCCTGGTGGGGTGGAGGAGTGTGTAAAAACGAACAGGAGTGCAGGGGATGAATTAATTGAAGGAGAACACCAAATCATTGTCTTTTTGTTTTCCTCCTTAGCTTGTGAATGCTTTGAAAACAGTATCGACGTTGGAGGTCAAAGTGGTAGACTACAAATACAAGTACGTAAGTTGGTAGAAGAAACTAGTGTGAACTCATGCTGCCTATGGCTGGTGAAAGGTGTTTGCAGGCCAAGCTACATATGCCCCAATGTCTAACCTCTGCAAAATCCAAGAACTGGTAAGGAAGGAAGGATGTTACTGAGGGAGTGGTGGGTGAGCTAGTTAAGCACTCCCATCCTATGATGCATCTACCTAGGAATGAATCTCTAGAGTTAGTAGACTCAGGTTAAAGCTACTGTATGATGAGCAAGTTTTGAAATCACTTTTCTTTCTGTTTCCTCCCCTCTCCCAAAACCAGCTGTATTCCCATGGCCCTTTTGGATTTGCTAATGCTCTGCAGTAACTGTGGGTCAGCAGGGATTTTTCTTGTATGATGCTAGTGTCTTATTTTATATGACCTTTAGTTTAGCAATGAGTAATAACTCGGCTTATTTGCTGCTCTTTTGGCCCCTGAAGACACCACTTGAGGTCAATTTGTGGTGCCCAGATGTAGTAGGCACTGTGCCAGTAAGAAATGGCTTGAAGAAAAAGGTCCCAAGTGGTGTATGCCTGTGCTGAATGGCAGCAGCTCTGATCTACTCAATGGTGCTGTCATGGATCATGCAGGAAGAGTGAGAAACTGAAGCAGCAGTGAGAGGATCAGTGTTTTAACCAAAGCAGAGGCAGTGTGAGGAAGTCGAGTTGCTTCCAATTCCCCTGTCAATGAAGGCACTTGAGTGGTCTAATAATAGAAAAGAGGGTGGATACCCTTGAGAGGGCATCTAGACCATCCCACTTGAGTGCGTGACCGAGTGGTACTTCCACAATTCCCGTGCTTGTCAAAACCATCTGTGGTACCATTCAGCATTACAGATTTCCACAGCTATCCTGCAGCATCACTGTCATCATAGTTAGAAGGGTTTCCCTGACGTCTGCCCTTACAGCAGCTTAACCAGTTTAAACTTTCTTGTTGCAGTTTAAGCCAGTTTCTTTCTACTCTCTTCCAAATGGTCAGAGAGGACGTTATTCTTTTCCATTTTAATGTATGAATTGTTCATACACAAATGAAGCCTGTTGTAATTTCCCTTTCCAGTTGTCTGTCTTCTCTTACAATTAAGTATCTTTAGTCCATTCTTTCCTTGTGTGCTCAGGGAACACCTGGTTATTTAAAGAGAATACTTTATTTGGAGCTTACAGTCAAAGGATGGGAGAGAGTGACAGTTCCAGGAGCTGAAAAAAGCCTGGTCTCCTTATTTCTGCTTGATGCCCTATGCATAAGTTCAGGTTGGATATCCGCACCTTTAGGTGGGAATTGTATACTTCTACATTACATTAAAAACAGTTTAGGTCCTTTATGTTGTGTTTTTGTTGTTTGTTTTTTTTTTTTAAAGGAGATGATGCAATTTTTTTTTTTAAAGGCAAGTAAAAAAACCCCCAAACTTATAAAAACTTTAACTTGTAAAAAAAAAAAAATCAAATGTTTGGAACAGACTCTTGTGAAGCTTTGAAACTTGTCTGCATTTCTTTTAATTCCATGCTGTTATTGCTGGCTGCAGCATTTGTGATTCTTAGTATTGTTCCTTGAAAAATCAATTCTCTCTTTCAGTATTCCCTTAAGTTAATTTTGTGCTTTCTACATGTAACTAATTCTTGCTGAGATGGATAGGCATGCCAGATCACCATTTTTTGTTGTGCTGTCTGCAGGGAACTTGAATTTTCAGAGCAATTGAGAATTACCCACAACTCTGATATATTCATTGGGATGCACGGAGCTGGGCTTACCCATTTGCTCTTTCTACCAGACTGGGCTGTTGTTTTTGAACTGTAAGTCTGTTTCTTTCTCTTTTCCTTCTTATACCACAACTGCTAATGTCTGTCCATATGTGTTAATGAAGCACTTTCCCTTGCTAGTATTTGACTATGAATGTTTGACTTGCATCCTTGTCTAGACTTCATTTTTGGCAGTCTCTTCTGGGAAGCGAAAGTGAGGAAGCTTTCATTATAAAATACAGTGTAACTATGTCATACAGGCTTAGCCTGTGATTTCTTAAGATGCCATGGTATAAATAAAATGCAGCCTGGTCAACAATTGCTTGGGCAAAATGGCAAAAAAAGAGAAAGCCTCACTGGTCAGATTCTGCGTGGGAAGTCTGAGATTTAATGGTATTTTGGTGATCCAGGTGAATTGATTACATAAGATGCGTGTCCAGGGTGTTTAAAGATCCCCCTGAAGGTTATTTATATACACCTTTCTATGCTCAGGACATAAGCACCAGCTTGCTGGCCAGGCTTAGCTGACTGTCATTCTGTTTTACCTAAATTTCTCTAGTAGCTTCCTTTTAAACATATTTCCATAGAATCATAGAATAGTTTGGTTGGAAGGGACTTTTTAAAGGTCACCTAGTCCAACCCCCCTGCTGTGGGCAGGGACATCTTCAACTAGATCAGGTTGCTCAGAGCCCCGTCCAGCCTGACCTGGAATGTTTCCAGGGATGGTGCATCCACCACCTCTCTGGGCAACCTGGGCCAGTGTTTCACCACCCTCAGTGTAAATAATTTCTTCCTTCTGTCTAGTCTAAATCTACGCCCCTTTAGTTTAAAGCCATTCCCCTTGTCCTGTCGCAACAGGCCTTACTAAAAAGTCTGTCCCCATCTTTCTTATAAGCCTCCTTTAAGTACTGATAGGCTGCAATAAGGTCTCCCCGGAGCCTTCTCTTCTCCAGGCTGAACAACCCCAACTCTCTCAGCCTTTCTGCTTAGGAGGCGTACTCCAGACCTCTGATGATTTTTGTGGCCAAATTTTGTTGCAAAGTATGGTTGTTAATAATTGACACTCCAGTTCTATAGAACTGAACTAAAATGCTGCACACTTCTCAGAAGAGCACTGAATTCTCCATCCTGGGAAACTCTGCTTGAAGCCTCTGCTGTGGGAAGGCTGTGGAGCTGGTGCTTTGCAGCATAATCTTGGCTTGAGAGCATTTTCTCCAGTCTGCAAGTAAGTTCAGAAACCCATGCCCAAGAGCTGCTGCAGCTGGACAGGGGCATGCCTGACATGCAGATGTACCTCAGACTGTCTCCTAGGCCATGTCTTAAGAACAGATGGCAGCCCTTGTTGTTGTTTTCAGTGGAGCAGAATTTGTCCATGGTTTCGGAGCCTTAGAACTGGACGACAAACACTTTGGCCTAAAGTTTTTTTTTCCTGTTTCACCCTGGTAAACTTCAGCACAGTCTCTGTGGGTAAATATGATTTTTCTGCCTGCCTCTAGATACAATTGTGAAGATGAACGTTGTTACCTGGATTTGGCAAGGCTGAGAGGCATTCACTACATCACTTGGCGAAAAAGGAATAAAGTATTCCCTCAAGATCAGGTAAGGATGGCCACTGCTGGAAGGGTGGGTGCTGTAACTTGAAGCATTTAAAGGCTAGCTTGTTTTACCTATCTGTGTTCTGATACTTGAAATATGGTTTTCATTCTTTAGACCAAATTAACTTCCCTGCTGTGAGTAAGAAATCATTTGATATTAATGGCTGAGGGAAGAAGAGAAATGAAATTAATTGGCCATTAATCCAAGCCACCCATAGCATTGCTGTTATGCAGTTACTTTGCTGGCTCTCTTGCCTCAGAGCAGATCAGTGGATCAGAAATAATAAATTAAACTGGCAGATGCTCGAAATTTTTTTTTTCCTTGCTTTTTGAATGGAAGATGTACTGAATTTTTTTTTCTGTCTAAAAGGCCTTATTTCATTTTCCTAGGGACACCACCCAACGCTGGGAGAACATCCAAAATTTACAAATTACTCCTTTGATGTGGAAGAATTTATGTACTTGGTGCTTCTGGCTGCAAATCATGTTTCACAGCATTCCAAGTGGCCATTTAGGGTAAAACATGATGAATTCTAAATCAGACTTCTGACTGAAATATTATTTTTAAATAATGCTCCATAAAAATATTGTAACAACATAAAGCAAAATGCTGGTGTGAAATGCGTAAACCTCTGCGAGGGAAATAACCCATTATTAACTTGTCAAACCACTTCTTAGCACCATACCTTATCTTTATAATCTCTCTCTTTAATTGTGGGAGTTTTTGATATGTAAAAACTATTTTTCGGAACTCTTTTTGGGTTTTGCACTGTATTTTTGCATTCCAAATTCTGAAATACTTGTCTTTATACAAAGATATGTCCATCCATTTCATGTAAGATTTTATCCATTTCATGTAAGATTTTCTGGGGTGGATACTAATCTTGCAGTAATTTATGCCTACTATTATGTGAGGAAATGCTAGAGGATGGAGAGTGTTACAGCTTGGTTTCCCAGTATAGTCTCTCTGGGAATGAAATAGGCCTGTTGAAGCTCCTCAGTTCCTCTTTTTAAGAAGCTGGATGCTTTTATACTGTAGTCCTGCACCTGTAAGTAAAAATCTGAATAGGAATTGCCGCCTTGTTGTAAGACACTGCCCAGCATGTCATTTGCAGTCGAGTTACATGGCGCAGTGGTTCCAGGATGGCTGTTTAGGTCCTTTCCGTCATCATCCGTGTCATTGCTGTGCTTGTCTCTGTATTGTTTCTAGGTTCGAAGATCTTCCTTTGTAAAATAGTGGTTGTAAGAATGAAGTGGTTAAGCGAGCTTTAACTTCTGTTGTTTGATTCAACAGACACTGCAGACTTCTATTTCAAGTTTAGAAACATTTTCAAGTTAGAGAGCAGAGTCTTACGTTTTTGCATTGAAATACAAACTTTGACACTCTTCCCTGTAGTTTTAAATGCTAAAATAGAACAGGTCTGCTCAGTAGGTTTAGTCAGTCTTCTGTCTCAACGCAGGTAAATCTCTTCCTAAGCGAATACTTAAAACTTCAGGTAAACTGGGTGTTTCCTACTTTTTCATATAAAACAGCACTCTGCAATGGAAAAACCTGAGCAAATTGGAATAAAACTTGAGTCTTTTTGAGGATGCTGAAGGGAATGGACTTCTAGTTTTTTACGACAAATGATAAGATGTATAGGGTGTCTTTCAGCTGCAGCTGAAAGGAAATGAAGTCATGAGCAAACTTGTTCTTGGAGTCATTAAAAACCTAATCTATTAATATTCTTGTTTTCTCAAAATGTCAAAGTCAATCTAGGTAACTTTTGGAAATCCTTCCAAAGCCAGTAGCATAGTTCACTGCTTTCAGTGAAGGAAATATTAAGCCAAAGCTGAGTTCTTTATAAAATTCCCTCCAGAGCTGACTTGTTGGTGCTAGCCGGGGTGGGGGGGGAAGGGAGTAGTTCTGTTGTCTTAAGTGGAACCAGAAGGATGTGTGGAAGAATCAAGTTCAGTGAGATAAAAAACAGAGTTCTATGTTAAATTATGGATTTTTTTGAGACTGTATTCCCATGATAGACTTGCAGTATGATCGTGCAGTCTCAGTGGCTTGAAGCAGAGCATGCACTTGTATGCAAAAGCAAGAGAGTTACAGTAAATGTAAACATTTCACTGGTATAATTGTAGATATTATTGACTTCCATTCTCCAGCAGTCATAGGCAATTTCACAGAGTGTAGGTACATTTACTGACCTGCCTATTCTGGTAAAGATGAGTTACTGTAAGCAGAATTTTCATAAGGTCTCTCACGACCTTAAGCAGTGCATAGGAAAAGCTAGATATAGCTGATACACAAGATATATTAAGGTATCTGGTGCAATTCCTAGCGTAGTGTATTGTTTTACTGATGGATAGAACTGTTTTACTTTAAAGAACCATAGAAGCAAAATTGCACTTCTTGACATGAAAAAACCCCCCAAACCCTGAGAAATACAATTTCCTGTATTTGTTTGTGTGTGGGGCGGGGGGGTTACCTTGCAGGATTTTTAAAGAAAAAAATTGTATAAAACTGAAGTCAGTAAAATGTCTGAGTTCAAATGGAACCAACTCAAAACAAAGACGACATTTAACTATGAACTGTGCACAGACACTTGATGATTTTTTTTTTGTAATAAAAAGCTTTTTAATTAAAAAAAGTGTAAAATTTTTGGTCATAGTTTGCCAGGTTTTAGAGGCAAATGTTTTAAATACTATTAATTGCATAGAGTCATGTGTGTCTGCTTTTTCCTGCCATGGCAACCTGATGTTCTGAGGTCCAAACAAATATTCAGATTTATTTATCTGGGAATCACTCTGAGATAACGCTATCATCTTGCACTGGTGGCTTTGTTGCCAGGCATTTTAAGATTGGTTTGTGGAAAACGCTTGTATATGTTTAACTTTCTGCGCTGCAGATGATGCTGTTGAAGCCAGTGCGTGAATGCAGACATGTGCTCGAATCTGTGCAGAAGCAGCTAATGAGGAGCTTCTCTCTGAAGCTATGTTCAGACTCACTAAAACAAGTGGTTGAACATATGCCCGGATGCGTGGAGGAGAGGCTGTGGGGACTTAATCCAAGGGCAAAATATCCTGCCAATGTTCACCAGTTTCAGCAAATTTGAGTGCAGCGTTGACAGTTGATGGTCAACATGTTCTTCAGCCTTTATGGCTTAATATTACTGGGGTGAAAATACTATTTTGGTTGATTTTGCGACTTTTTGTAAAGCTAATTATCTTGGCAGCAGAAAGAGGTTCGGTTGGATTACTAGGATTTTGCCAATAAATCCTGAGAGAGAATTTGGACAACAGCCAAGATCTGGCCCGTGGCTTTCTTAAAGAGGGTCTGGGCCATCTCGGTCTGCCTCGAAATTGGAATTTGAGGGAAGCCATGAGACTTTGGGGCCACTTGTTCTTTAGGCAGGGTATAGCTCTGGATTGTGTTTTCCTAACAGACGATAGGAATCTTGTTCCTTGCTACTTCTGATTTTTTTTTTTTTTTTTTTTTTTCTGTTTCTCCAGTTTACTTAAGTTTAGAGTCTGTGTTTAACTGGCACGTTGGCATCAGCATGATTAATTTAGTTTTGGGACTTAATGAACATTGCCAATCCTGAATGCTTACGGGATTGCCTGTGTTTCATGTACAATGTATACAGAGAGCTGGATTCGAAATAAAAAATAATTTATGGATGCACATGGTGTCTTTCCTTTTTACTTCAGAAGTCTTCAAGATGTATTTTCAGTTTTTTTCTTTGTGAAGTTCTGTGGAAGTTGGGTAAGTGTGAGAAATGGTTTGTGATGGGGAGGTGGCAAATCAGGATTATTAATTTTAAGAGTACAATTATAAATATTAAGGGAATACATTTTTAAAAGCAATTAAATAATAATGAAATTGTTTAATTTTTGCTGTTAATCTTGCCAATTGTACCATTAATGAGATAACTCAGGGTTTAGAATGTCTCTTAATCTTTTTTTTTTTTTTAAGCAGGAGAGAAACTGAAGGAAACGTTCTCCTTGAGAGCTTTTTGTCTGCTCAGAAGGGTGAAATGTGAGGGGATAATTTTCTTTGATTTCAACATTGAATAATTATTTCAATTTGCAGTGTTTGCCTTGAAGGTTGAGCTCTTACTTCTACTCCCCTGAACACACGTTTCTCATGGATTGGGCTTTTTGTCTGAAGTAAAAGAACTGCTACTAAACACTCTTCTGGCTTTGGCCCTGAAACGGCCGAAGTAGCTTGGCTCTTCATTATCCATTCATGAACGCTCATCATCCTTCTTCCATTTCAGTTCCTCATCTCACAGCGTGGGTGTGAGGGCGCTAAGCCTGCAGCTACTGAAGCTACTGACCTACTCTGAACGGGAGCCGCTCCTCCCGTCTACAGGCTGCGTCGGTCAGCTTGTGTGAGGGCTCTCTAACTCCTTTCAGCCAAGGTCAGATGGCTTAGCAAAAGCCTGCAGTTTAAACTGTTTGCCACAGGCTCGTTCTTCCTGCAGATAAGGGCTGTGGTGTAAGGGATGGCTGTGTGAGCTGCTCGTCTGGTGTGGCAGTACCTCGACGCAGGTCTTGGTTGTGGCTGGGGTAACCTTTCTGGAAGAAAGTAGAGCTGGAATAGAATGACTGAGCCAGTCTTGGCGAGTCCAGGTCCAAAGTTCTAGTAACTTCTGTTGTTGGTGGAATTGAGCAATTTACAGCAGGGGTATCGCAAATAGTGCAGCTGATGATAAAAGCATTTTGTGGAGGTGGGGAGGGAGATGCACGGAGGGAGTGAGAGGGGTAAGGAGGAACGAGTAAGCGTAAAGGCTGCAGATGGCTAAAACGGGCAGAGTCTCGTTCCCAAGCCTGAGGCTCAGAAGACCTCCATGAACGCAATTATAAATCAAGTGAAGTGTGTGGAAACCCCACTGGGACAGAGCCAAAAAGGAGGGTAGCGAGAACGTTATTGTCATAAACTGCAAGGAGGTACAGGAGGGAGAAACGAAAGGACCCGAATTCCCCTGGGTCCGAGCCAGGCGAGGAGGGGAGCAGCATCCCCGGCCAGGTGGGGCTCTCGGGGAGAAGGGCCAGGGCTGAAAAACTGGGTGGTGACCGGCAAGTTGCGCTGGAGGGAGAAGCTGGAAGGGGCCGTGGAGGTTGGCCAGGGGGTGTTTTGCCACAGTTTGAGGGAGCTGACAGCGCCTTCTGAAACCTTTTTTTTTTTTTTTTTTAATAGGCTCCTGTCCTCCCTTAGAACAATGAAATATTTTTATAATATAAAAATATACACATAATATATTTGTATACAAAAATATAATAAATATATATGGAACACTATTGATATAAAATAGAAATATATTGAATATAAATGTAATGTAACCGTAACTATTCCTGTTATTACTGTTGTCTTTTGGATAAAGGAATAAAACTCCAAAGTAAAGAGCAGACTGTCTTTTCCTTTTCTTTATATTTTCTTCTGTTTTTTCATTTCCCTTCCTATCTTTCCATGGCAAATCAAAAAGCAGGAGAAGTAGCAAAAAAGAAAAATGGCACTAGTATTGGGAATAAAAATACCTGAATTTGTTTTGAATATGCATAACCTCTAACATGGCATTGATTTTTTTCTTTTTTGCTTGGATTTTTTTAAAATCAGGTCTGGTTTTAGCCGTTAGAGTATTTGGAACAACGTAGTACACAAAACGTACGAAGCCTTTGAGTAGAGGGTGAGAAATCAGTCGTCTAGAGCTCAGCTACCCCAGCACTTAGAATTGGGGTTTATTTAATAGTTGCTGAATATCATCAGTTCAGAACTCGAAATCTGCTTTGTCTGGTTGTGTGTTCACGGTCAGTAATGGAGCTGTACGTTATGTTTAAGTTAAGTCTCGTTGCTCTCCTCAGCTTTTCAGGAGAGCACGCTCGCGTTCAGTGCAATGCTGGAAGGCCA